GAGCTGCACCAGGACACCTTCCCGGGGCCACGCCACTTCAGAGATTCAGGGAAGCAGTCATTTGCATCCTGCAAACCTGAGCTGCAGTTTCTCCACCCTCCATTTCCAAATCCCCTGGGTGCTGACAAGTGGTCTGTGTGTTGGCCCCCGATCAACCTGGCTGCCTGGCTGAGGGCTCCACGTGGACAAGCTGGGGACGGGAAGGTAGGTTGGAACTTTGGGACTGCACATCATGCCCTCCTCTCTAGACGGCCCCCATGCCTCCAGGCACAGATCCTTCGTAGCTCAGTTCTAGGGCTCTAAGCTGAGGACACTTGGACACACGTCTGCAAACCAGATCAGACGTAGTGCCGTGGATCCTGACTCCGCATTCCAACCCCCGCCCCTCCAGTAGATCAGGGTCGAACTGCCCTCTTTGGAGTTCCAAGTCTTCATGGAAGCAGAGAGCTCTCTCCTGGGAAACGGGGTTCCCACTGCTGCCCTTGCAGTCAGCAGCCCAACTCCTAAGTCCTCAGGGCACCCTCACGTTCTACCAGGAGCCCCCAAAAGGAACTTCCTATACTGAGAGGCTCCCCGCCCACCACTGTAGGAAGCAGCACCCGCACGCCCAGCTCAGGATGCCCACGGCAGCACCGTGGACTCAGTGATGGTTTTGTCTTAGAAACACCGCTCTCAGCCCCTCAGCACCTGCTCACATAATCGCACCTCCCTGTGGAATTGTTCTCTCTCTCAATCCCACGACAGCCCCTCTGTGTCTGCTCACCTCTGCCTGACTGGGCACTGCCCCTCCATGTGCCCTGTAGCACCACCACCCCCATCTGGGTGTTGGAGCACCCCAGGACGGCCGTCACACCAACTGGGTGGCTGTAACCACACAGGCTTATTGTCTTGAGACTTTGGAGCCTGTGAGCCAGTCCCTTGTGCCTGGGGCAGCTTCTGGGGACGGCCAGCAGGTGCTGGCTTTCCTGGGCTCCTAAGTCTCTGTCTCCTCCTCCGCGTGGCCGCCACCCCCCTTCCCCTCTGTTCTCCCCTTTCATGGTGTAGGCCAAGTTATTTTACCTGGTGTCGTTAGGAGGCGTCTTCCTTCCTAAATCCGATCTCTGTGGAACTTGTACCGCTGGACACCCCACTCAAAGACAAGCAATGCAGATGTCGCCCAGAAAGGCCAGGTCATACTGGAACATCTCCGTCTAGTCACCTGGACGTGGCCGGTGAAAAGGTGGGATTTACTGTCTCATTAGTCAGCAGAGACATCCTGGGACTGGCTGGAGAACCTCCTGGTCCTGTCTGCTTCCTCTTGGTCCACACTGTTTCCCAGGGTTCCCCTGAAGCCGGAGTGGAGGGGAAACGTCTATACGACTCTCCAAGGCGTGAATTCCAGAGTAAGATGCGCTCATCTTCCTGGCCCGTGTGAATTCTGACCTCAAACAGGATGCCGCTGAGACAGCTGGCTCTCTGACGTCGGTCCCTCGACAGGGACGCTTTCTAACCGAAGTTTGAGTCCCCCTAGAACTTGTAGCGATAAACCAGGCA